CAATCCCTTCTCCTCCATTCTCCTCTCGGGATCTTGGGCACACACACATGCACCCAGCGTGAGTTTAAGCCACCGGATCCGGGACTCGAACTGTGGTAGACTACATGGGAGTGCAGCGACGTAGCCATTACGCCAACTGCTGGTCCCCCCAATGAGTACTTATTATCAGGTTAACCCGACCCAGGGAACCTTGCAGTGAGCAACCTCTGAACCGGGCGCGTGGGGGTGGCAGACTAGCCCGGACCTCACAGCCTGGGGAGCACCGTAGCTCCCTGGTTTAGAAGGTCCTCTCCTGCGGTTTTCTGGGAAGCTGAGTCTCTGGCTCTAGGATTGGGAGCTAGTTAGTCTTGGGTGCCTGGGGCCGGGAGAGCAGCCAGAGGCTGAGGTTGAGGGGGACTTTGGGGCCTGAATCTTGCCCTGAATACAGCTGTGGGGTGCTGACACCTGACTACATGGGCGCTGAGTCTCTCGGCAGACAGCACAGCTCTGTCCCACACCTCTGGCGTGGGAAGGAGACTTGGCTTCTGGGCGGTGTCCAGAGTCCGACCCTGCACTTGGCCTGGCTCTGCCCCGCCCTTGGTGGGTAACCTCCCAGGGTCTCCCAGCCTCTCTTTTTCCAAAAATAATTATTTCCTGGGGCCGGCAGGTGGCATGGTGGTTAAGGACGCATGGCCTCCCATGATTTGGGTTCCGGACCTGGTGGCTTGCTTTATCGTTTTCCTTCTCTCTCTCTCTCTCTTTCTCACTTTGTCCCTCTCTGGTCAAATTGAAATAAATAAAGTTAAATAAAATAATTCTTTTAAAGAAATCATTATTTCTATTATTTTATTTATCCTTATTTTTTTAGATTTGATCAGAGCAAGACACAGAGAAAGAGAGAGAGAGAGAGAGAGAGATGCCAGGTTTAGGACTTGAACCAAGGTCAGCTATGTGGGAGTTAACGCCTTTAACCACTATGCCACCTGCTGGCCCCCTTTGCTTTTCTCATGTAGAACAGTGACTTTTGTCCTGGGGACTTACAGAGGGTGGGAGGATGCAGCCAGGTTAGTGTTGCTGTCAGCCTCAGTCCTAGGGCTTCTTCTGGAGGGGCTGGGCCTCCAGTAACTGGCTGTTCCCACCTTGCTGTGTGAAGCAGGGAGGCTGATTACAGCCCAGCTCTACTGCGGGCCGGTGTGCTCAGCTGGGTGTGAGCTGAACCCCCTCTGCTAGAAACTGGTCCCACGTTACAGGACCTGGGCCAGTGCCGAAGCTGCAGAATCGCCTTGTCCCGTCCTCCCCTCGTCCTCATTTGCCAGCCGAGCAAAGCAGGTGGGGAGGCAAGTTGGCACAGTTAGCTGACATAGCTGCTAACAGAGCCGGGGCAGGCCCCGTGTCTGATCTGAGTGGAAGTGGGAACAGTTTGCTGGGGACGGTAAGGGGGGGCAGAAAGAGCCTGCCTGATTTTCCTCGGGAGCTTTTCTGGATCTGTTCCTGGCACGTGTGGAGAGTGCGGTCAGGGACTCACGGCCTCCCAGTCCCCCAGTCCCACTGCACCCCACCCAGACCTCATAGACCTGAGCGGCTGCAGTAGGTGACAGGTGACCCAGAGCCCTTCAGGAGGGGACAGGGAGCCAGCCTGATGCCTTGGAGCAAGGTGTCCGGACACAGTCAGCCCGTGGCCAAGGGCCCTGCTGTGCATAGGGGGGTGTGCCCTTTCCCTCCCACCCACTCCCACCTCAACACGGTGGGCTTAGGGTGCATGGCAGCACGCTCACTGTCTGCACCTCTCACCACGGCCTAGGGCCTGAGGTCTGACCAGGCCCTGGCACCCTCTCTCCTGCCCCCAGGATGCCCACGACCGCCACCCTGTGACAAAGGGCTCACAGCCCCAGCACGCGGCTCAACCCAGTAGCCTGGCTCCTGCCCCTGGCACCCGGGAGGCCCCTCAACCTGCCAGGGGCCCCAGACCTCCCCGCTGCGGTGTGCCTGACCCCGCCCACAACCGACAGAAGCGGTTCGTGCTATCTGGCGGGCGCTGGGAGAAGACAGACCTCACCTACAGGTAGGGGCAGGGCCCACCCGAGCAGAACAGGGGTGGGGGGGCTCTGCCCTGTGTCCGTTGATCGTGCCACCTTCGGATCTGCTCGAGACACACACACCAGGGCTAGACTTACACGGCGACAGCCCTGTGTGCCCACTGACACTCCGAGCCATCAGGGGCTCAACACCCTGAAACCTCGGCTCCGAAACACCCAGGCGACCCCCACCCCTGCCCCGTGCACCTACTGATGCCCTTCTTCAGCTGTGGGACGATGCCTCTGTGTCACCCCAAACCTCAGCGTGTGCCTGGGGTTGGGTGTTCAGCCACCCAGGTGACATTTACTGGGGACCTGCCAAGAACTCCTGAATGAGATGGACACAGCGTGGTCCTCGGGGACACGGGCATTAGCCGTGTCATGACGGATCTACTGTCGTGCATGACTCAGGCCTTCCGCAAAAGGGCTCAGCGGCGAAGGGGGTCAGTAACACTGGGTCCCTTACCCGCTGACCTGGGAGGCCTCCGGACTGTGGTATGGAAGCAGAGGCTTGCACATGCTGTGGGCTCAGCCTGGGGGAGGTGCCACTTAGCCCTAGAGAGACTCAGAGCCTCAGGGATTTTCTGGAACTGGAAGCCGAGAGGTGGCACTAGGGGCCGAGGTCTCAGTGAGTGTGCTGTCAGGTCTGGAACGTGGGTCTCAGGACTCCCGGCCTTCTGTGCTCTTCCCACCAGATGTGGACACCGTATAGGTACATACGAGGGGACTTCAAAGGGCTTGTGGAAAAATGAAATCAAAATACAGGTTTATCTGGGTGCAAAAAAGATTGAAATCCATCAATCACATTTCCCATGAACTTTTTTTGGGGGGGTGGGTAGAGATTTTGCTATAGGGTACCAGAGAGACAGAAAGCAACAAATCACCCCCCAGGGGGAATGGCCATGCTGCAATCCCTTCTCCTCTCTGGATTTTGGGCACATGTGCACATGTGCTGTTGTGAGGGTTTTTTTTTTTTTTAAGAATTATTTAATTTTATTTATTCATTCACTTATTTCCTTTTAATTTGACCAGAGCAAGACACATACACACCACACATACAGAGAGAGAGCGCAAGCCACCAGGTCTGGAACTCGAACCATGGTTGGCCATGTGGGAGTGTCCAGTGCCTTAACCCCTACGCCACCAGCTGGTCCCCTGGTGTGACCACCGAGTCTAGGACTCGAACCATGGTCAGTCATGTGGGAGTCCAAGAGACATAACCATTATACCATCTGCTGGTACCCCCATGAACTTTTTGAAGATCCCTTGTACAAACCTACAAGTATATATATAAAAAAACAAACCCACATACCAACTCCTAGGCCCCTGGGACCAAGGAGGCCCGGGTGCTACCCCTGAGACCCAGAAGTCACCTGGCCTGTGTCCCTCGCATACTCAACCACAGAGCACCCGGGGACAACTTCTGGCCCCTCAGCCATCAGGGCCTGTCCCTCCCACAAGGCTCAGGCCCCTGAACCTCCCCCCAGGATCCTCCGGTTCCCGTGGCAGCTGGTGCGGGAGCAGGTGCGGCAGACGGTGGCAGAGGCCCTACGGGTATGGAGCGAGGTGACGCCACTCACCTTCACCGAGGTGCACGAGGGCCGAGCTGACATCATGATCGACTTCACCAGGTCAAGTGCTCTGGGCCCCTCCAGGAACGAGCCCCGCGGCCCCCGCTCGTTCACTGACTCTGTCCCCGCCTGCCCACAGGTACTGGCATGGGGACAACCTGCCGTTTGACGGGCCCGGGGGCTATGTTTTCTTTCCTTTTTCTTTTCCCCTCCCCCTCCTACCTTCTCTTCTCCTTTTCCAAATTTGTCAGAAGGTGTATGCACTCACCAGACAGAGAGGGAGAGGGAGAAAGGACCGCTCAGTGGGGCATGGTCACACTACAACCCTTCTCCATTAGTCCATCCTGTTGGGGTCTTAGGCCTACATGCATATGTGCCTGACATGTGTTTTAAGCCAGTGGGGCCAAGATTCGAACCATGCAGTTGTCTGTATGGAATCTAGCTTTCTTAACCAGTAGGCCACAGGGTTGGCCCTACTGTATTTTCTTTCACTGATATTCTTCATCACTCATGCATTTCTAAAATCCTGAAAGGAAAATGGAGAAGGGATTGCAACATGGCCATCTCCTTGGGACTCAATGTGTTGGCCATGTGGAAATCCAGCACTTTAACCATCACACCACTTGCTGGCCCCAAGACATTACATTATTTTAATTGTCCTATTTAAATGATTACAGTGTCTTTAAGTTCCACATGCTGTTAGAATTGTAATTACGCAGTGTACGTATATGGGATTTAGAAGTTAGGGGACTCCAGAGGTCGTCCCCAAGAGATTCATTAGGCCTACAGAATTTTGTTTGAACACAGTGGTTTTATTTTGTTCTTAATATGAATTTAATATTTATAGATATTCTTGCCAATTTGCCACAATAACCATTTTTTCAGATTTTCTTTTTTCTTTTTCTATATATTTGTCATAGGGACAGAGAGAGACAATGGGAAAATAAGAAATTACCGCTTGGGGGGATGGCCATGCCTTAATCCCTTTTCTTCCATTCCCTTCTTTGGATTTTGGCACATGCATATGTACCTGGTATGATTTTCAAGCCACTGGGTTTGAACTGTTGTTGGCCATTTGAGAATTCAGTGCCTTAACCACCTGCCACCTGCTGGCCCCTTTCCAAATTTTCTTATACTTGGCAACTTCACACACTTAATCTTTGTTTGCTTATTTGTTTTTTGGGTTTTTTTTTTTTTTGCTGCCATAGCGTGTGTACACTTCTCAGAAAGAGGCAGAGAGAGGGAATAACTCCCCTAGGAAGTTATGGGGATCTCCCCTAGGAAGGATAGCCATGCCACAACTGCAATCCCTTCTCCTCTCTGGATTTTGGGCACATGTGCACATGTGCTGGTGTGAGGGTTTTTTTTTTTTTTAAGAATTATTTAATTTTATTTATTCATTCACTTATTTCCTTTTAATTTGACCAGAGCAAGACACATACACACCACACATACAGAGAGAGAGCGCAAGCCACCAGGTCTGGAACTCGAACCATGGTTGGCCATGTGGGAGTGTCCAGTGCCTTAACCCCTACGCCACCAGCTGGTCCCCTGGTGTGACCACCGAGTCTAGGACTCGAACCATGGTCAGTCATGTGGGAGTCCAAGAGACATAACCATTATACCATCTGCTGGTACCCCCATGAACTTTTTGAAGATCCCTTGTACAAACCTACAAGTATATATATAAAAAAACAAACCCACATACCAACTCCTAGGCCCCTGGGACCAAGGAGGCCCGGGTGCTACCCCTGAGACCCAGAAGTCACCTGGCCTGTGTCCCTCGCATACTCAACCACAGAGCACCCGGGGACAACTTCTGGCCCCTCAGCCATCAGGGCCTGTCCCTCCCACAAGGCTCAGGCCCCTGAACCTCCCCCCAGGATCCTCCGGTTCCCGTGGCAGCTGGTGCGGGAGCAGGTGCGGCAGACGGTGGCAGAGGCCCTACGGGTATGGAGCGAGGTGACGCCACTCACCTTCACCGAGGTGCACGAGGGCCGAGCTGACATCATGATCGACTTCACCAGGTCAAGTGCTCTGGGCCCCTCCGGGAACGAGCCCCGCGGCCCCCGCTCGTTCACTGACTCTGTCCCCGCCTGCCCACAGGTACTGGCATGGGGACAACCTGCCGTTTGACGGGCCTGGGGGCATCCTGGCCCACGCCTTCTTCCCCAAGACTCACCGAGAAGGCGACGTCCACTTCGACTATGACGAGACCTGGACTATTGGGGACAACCAGGGTACAGGCTGGGGACTCACATTCCAGATGGGGAAGCTGAAGGGTAGAGAGAATGGGGATTTGCCCAGGTCCCCACACTGGGGTCTGGAAGTGGTGGGGTCTGGAAGTGCTGATCCCCCTTCCTTTCCCAGGCACGGACCTGCTGCAGGTGGCAGCCCACGAATTCGGCCACGTGCTGGGGCTGCAGCACACCACGGCAGCGAAGGCGCTCATGTCCCCTTTCTACAACTTCCGCTACCCACTGAGTCTCAGCCCGGACGACCGCAGGGGAATCCAGCACCTCTACGGCCAGCCCCGGACAGCCCCCACTTCCGAGGCCCCGGTCTCGAGCCCCCGGGCTGGGATGGACACCAACGAGATTGCACCGCTGGAGGTGAGGCCTTGTCCCCAGCCCTCCCCGGCTGCTGGCCTCTGTGACTCCAGCCTGGGCTTCTTTCTGGCCCCTCTCCCACTGCAGCCGGAAGCTCCTCCCGATGCCTGCGAGGCTTCCTTTGACGCTGTCTCCACCATCCGCGGCGAGCTCTTCTTCTTCAAGGCGGGCTTCGTGTGGCGGCTGCGTGGGGGCCGGCTGCAGCCCGGTTACCC